ACCCTATTTTACTCTTACACTATTTTCTGGAGAGATGAGAAGGGACCGGTGAATAATTCTTCATTTATATTCTAATAAATTTCTAATAAATAAAAAATGCTTTATCAAAATAAAAGGTTCCAGATTGTCTCTGTGTGTTTTTTATGCAGGTAGGTAGCACCTCTTTGCAGAAAAAGAAAGAAACTAAAGTCTTTAAACAAACAATAGATTGCACAATTTATTTCCTTCTAACTGAATTGTAAAACCAGGAGGTTTTGTTTTGTTAGGAAAGGTCCTTTTACATACCAGAGATGCATCAGGCATATGAGGCCAGACTCATTTTTATATAGACCAATAATGGCCGTCTTTACTTCCCAGGATACCAGGTATTCATTTAAGCCACTGTCGACCTGGGAGCCAAGATCATGCTTTAAAAAAATCCAGCCCCATGAACAATTTGAACCTGCAGCCTTTGGATCTGCATGTGAGTCTAGCTGCTACACCACAGCGGCTCCCACAAAAGATTTAAAAAATAACTGTTTGTTTTACCCGGGTCAGATGCAGGATTACAGCCATGTATTTACTCTGGTAAAACTGGTGGTTACTTCTGGTTGTAGCTGGTTCTGTTTACAAGTTGAAGAATACATTTATTTACTTTATTAACTGTTACGTAGTGCGCACCTTTCGAGACAGGGAAATATATCGCTCAATAAATTGTGCAGTCTGTTGTTTGTTTACTTTGTTTTGATTTGCAAGAGGAAAACAAGTCTTTAACAAATACTGTGACTGGAAAAAATAGTTCAGAGAGATAAGGAGACGTGTTTTAGGATGCTACAGAGGAAAGATTTGGTGGCAAAAGTGCAAGAGGAAGGATTTGTTAAATTTTGGTGGTTTTATGCAGCATTCACACGGGTTCTTGTTTTACCTTTATCTGAGAAGAATCGAATTCCGGTATTTTCATGGTGAAAAGGGCAAATTTTTCAATACCTGTGTGGGAGTGAGACAGGGTTGCATACTATCCCTTAGTTAGTTAGTTAGTTAGTTAGTTGGGTTATCCTCATTGCACTCCGGACATGTCCATAGGTGCTCAGATTCTCCCCTCAGTATGAACCCCAACGTCCGATGGCTAATAGTACCAGTTCTATGTTGATTAACAAGTCTTCTGGCGTAGCTGGTGTGCGTCTCGTTTTTTGCTGTGCCGATCTGAATTCCCAAGTCTGCCATTCTGGCGAGTGATGTGGATTCACTGCCACCAAAGTCCTCTATTCTTCCCATTTCTCTGAGGGCATTGATAATATCAGCATGATCCATAGGCTGACCGTCGGTAGTGATAGCGGATCCAGCCAACCTGTCAGCTCTTTCATTTCCATCGACGCCTGCGTGTCCCGGAACAAAAATAAAGGGGACTCCACGAACAGTAGACTTCTGTAATGATTCAAGCCATTGTCTTCGCATTGAACCTGCCTGAACCCTCCGGATCATACTCATTGAATCACTGAGTATACACACGCGGGTGTATTTTTGTGTTTCAAGCCAGGCAAGCGCTTGTGTCACTGCCATCACCTCCATCGTCATGCTGCTGGTTGTCATGGAGAAGGCGCCGTTGGCTTCTTTGACTGTTCTGCCCGCTGAGCGTGCTGTAAATGCCCATGCGCTTCTTCTTTGGCGTATAACGGATCCATCTGTATAGATTATTGCATCTGCTTCGTCTGAATTTTCACCGATGAGAGCGTTGACCTCTGCATTAACAGCAACAGGATTCTCTTCTCTACATCGCCTGTTGAGTGTGACAATACAGGAAAATGTACACAAATAACGCCTGAGGCACAGGTATCCATTCTGCACCAGGTATGATATCGGTTAGGCTGCATATTTGCCTAATGACATCTTCTGCCCGACCTAGCCACGATTTCCCCCTCTTCAGTCTGTCGCCCTTTTCACTGAAAAGCGCTTGATGCAGTGGGTGTTTCTTATCAGCGCATATTTTGAGATATGCCCGAGCCCTCCACATCCTGATCCTTTGGTTCATTGTTGGAAAGTCAAGTAGATACCTCATTGCTCCACAGGATGTGTCTCTAGTACATCCCAAAATAATGCGCATGGCTTCATTTTGCACCTTTTTGAGTCGTTCAATCTGGGTAGCACTGACAGTGAGGATGGCCAGAGCGTATTCAATGGGGGAAAGGACCAGACCGTAGAATAGAAGTATTAGTAGTCTTTGCTCAATATTGGAAGCAGCCATAATCCTCATTGCAGATAGACCTTTGCGTGCTTTTGTTATCACATGGTCAACGTGTTCCCTGAATGACAAGCTGCGATCGAACCTCACCCCGAGAAACGTCATAACGTTGGTTCTGATCAATGCATTATCACGCATTTTCACTTCTGGTAAGTCCGACTTGACAATGTGATTGTTCAAAGAGAACCATGACACTGATGCATTCGAAGGATTGACATAGGCATTGGAACCATCACACCAGGCGGCAATTCGATCGAGTTCTTTGTGCATAGTGCTGGCGATCTCCTGTCTATCACGCCCTCGTCGATAAATCAAAATGTCACATCAGCAAATGACAAAGTCCTTCCCTTTCCATTCAACTGCTGCTCAGTGATCATCACCGTGTAAACGTTGAATAAGACTGGTGATAGCGGTGATCCCTGTGGCAAGCCTGGACATATCATTTGCGGTTCGGAGGACCAGCTACCACATCTTAGTACAATCTTTCTCTGGAACAGGACCGCAGCAATCCAGCGGATCAGAATAGGATTAACTTCTAGTTTAAGCAGTAATTGCATTAAATAATCGTATGGTACTTTAGTGTAGGCATCTTCTAAGTCCAACACTGCCGCACATGTCTCTTCTTTAATCTGAAATCCCTCGTACACATCGTAGGCGAAAACTGCAGCATTGAACCATGTCTCTTTATTTAACCTGTACCCTCCAAGTGTTGGTGGGAACTTATAATGTAGTTCCAAGTAGGTGGTCAATCTTTGTGCGACAATTTTTTCCAAAAGTTTGCCAACAGTATTCTGCATCGAGATGATTCTGTAGCCGCAGATCTTTGAGTGGTCTTTATTAGGCTTTGGTAGTGGGAACAAATAACTATGGAGCCATTCCTCTTGTATCTGGCCACTCTGGATGCTGATATTGAATTCCTTTGCCACGCTTTTCAAATCAGCATTCGACATCATCAGCATGTCGTTGTATCGGATGCCGTCAGGGCCTAGAGCAGTGCTGCGCGATTTCTTGAGGCAAGTTCTTAAGGTATCTGCAGTGATTGTGAGATCAGTGCCTAACACAGTGTTCTCGCACAGCATCGACTATCCCTGTCCTGCTCAATCTGTATTTGGAACACATAAGGAGAGAAACGCTAGAAAATCATGAAACTATATCCATTGGCAGAAGACAGCTGTGTATTTTAAGTTTTGCAGACGACATAGGTTTCATGGCTGGTTCCGAAACATAACTCCAAGAACTTCCTACAAAATTAAAGGCAGTCTTCGTAAATATGGTATGGAAAATAATGCCTAGAAAAACAAGATTTTGGTAAATAGTCACAATGTTCAGGTACCTACCAACATACAGATAAAAGGGGGAAAACTAGAAGAGGTTGAAACCTTTAAATATCTTAGCTCCCACATACACAACGATGGCAACTGTACCAAAGAGATCAAGGCGACTTGAAACGGCAACTGCCGTGATGTCTCAGCTGAATACGATGTGGAAGAGCAAAAGCAGCATTGCAGTCGAGGTTAATATTTACAAATCACTGGTATTGTCTATTGTCTTATATAGAAGAGAGAGTTGGTAACTGTTAAAATGGAAAGGAGGATTCAGGCTGTCGAATGTAAATGCTACAGACGTATTTTACGAATTAGTTATTTCGAACACAAAACTAATAAATATGTCAGGGACAAAATTTACAAATTTGCTGAACATGAGGAGTCTCTCTTGGCAGTGGTGAAACGTCGCAAGCTAGCTTGGTTTGGACACGTGGTGAGACATGATTCGACATGATAAATATATATATATATATATATATATATATATATATATATATATATATATATATATATATATATATATATATAAACCGATATGTATTTACTGGCACTCATATAAAGAAGAAGAACACTAGTCAAAATAAAAATTGAAAGCTATAGTTACCAAATGACAGCATCGCCCTTAGAGAGAGAGAGTTGGAAGACTTTAGAGGCAGTGCATCCACAGCCCTGCTATATATGAGACATATGAGAGTAACAAGCAGCACAGTATGGCATGATATGCATACTAGAAATAAGAGAGGTCTTGTCATCCCGAATATATCTGCATTATTACTTGCAGACACTTCGATTGTGTGCATGTGATACATCCTTGCATTGCCGACTATTGCAGACAGGCTTAAGGTACTGCAGGCTAAGTCATACCTCAGAGTAGCTGCAGACAAAGAACACCCTCTGCATGAAGCTTTGGCTGCAGATAAAGTTCAACATCTGAAAATGGCAAAGTCGTGGATGGCTCAAGCAGAATGCACAATAAGACAAGTATGCATGCTGGAGAAGATTATGCGAGGAGAGGAGTGGGTCAGTGTACCATAGGAAAAGTCTGATCTGGGTAGGGCTATGATCACATTGGGACGGGAGTTCAGAGAGTGGCCAGTGGGTGCTGCGGGGGTGGCAGTCCAACAGTTGATTCGACTCACGAGTTGAAGAACGTGGATCGATATTGTGTGGTTTTCGTTGGCACAGGAACGAAGCAACTATGGGGCGGCCCATTTGCTAAGAAGTTGGAACTGCGAATACCTGAGTGGCCTTTTACAATATGCTTGTTAAAGTATGGTAGTCCTATTTTTAACCCACCCCAGAGCGGACCCCGAAACCGACAAGGGACTCTAACTTATAGTTTTCATCCGTTGATTTCCCACCTCCGAGTTTTGTATACTCAAAAATTAAATTGTGTACACACAGCCGCTGCTTGAAACTTGTAACGGTCGCAGACGACAAAACAGACGTAGTAAACAATGGATTCTGATAGAGCTTTTAAAAACCCTTTCCCTGATTATTCTGGCACCCCGCTGCTTGGTGATGATAATAAGGTAACTCTTTCAACCGGCTTTTTTCGTTTATATTGTTGCATTTACATATTGAATTATGCACAATTTTGTTTAACCTTTTTAAAACTGAATAGTACACTTACTTCATACAGTAGTTTGAGCTGTTAGTTGTACTCTTTATGTTTATTTTTATTTTTCAACGGATCAACATCATTGCACACGGGTGTAACCCATAAGTGCTCCGTTCTACTTCTAACTCAAGCCTGAGTCTGGAGAATCTCAGCGCAGAGCATCATGAACTCTGTTGCACCGGCGAGAATCCTGACATACTTTGGGTAGATGTTTAGGCTATCCTCCGATTCGAATAACGGTCCAAAATTATCGAGGCCGAAAATATACCCTAACAGGGCCTCAGTCCTTGACTTCCGGGGACTATACCGCCACCGCCAAGAGTATCTCCCACGCCGCTACGTGCGGCTTGCATTGGGGCTAATGGGACTCAAGAGCAGATAAAATTAAGGAAGCTGCAGGAGATGCGGTAGCTGCTGCTCGTGAGTCCCAGCCATCTATTTTACTAATTTTAGTCCCAATCCATGCCGCACATAGCGACGTGGGAGATATTCTCAGCGGTGGCGGAATTTGCAGGAAGTGCGCAATTTAAGTCAACGGAAGTCCGCAATTGACATGTGATAGAGGCCCTGTTAATGAATATTTTCGGCCTCGATAATTTGGGACCGTTATTCGGCGGATAGCCGATTTTTAACTCCAAATTTTGCCCGGGTAGCGCCGTTGTTAGCTACTCTTTTCGATTTCCAACTGCCAGGGGATTTTTTTATGTGCGCAACAACACACATGGGCGTCCAATCTCACTACCCAGGGTACAATTACTATAAGTCCATGTTAAGAATCCAGCCTTCACGGGGCTTGAGCCTGGGATCACCAGCACCAGAGGCGGACATTTTTGTAGGCATTTTATAAATTTTATTTTAGCGCTTTTATAACAGACGCTTTGTGGTGATTACCGGCACCTTTTTATACACCTTGAAGTGAGTACCAGCATTTTTTTTTCCCAAAGAAAAAAGCCTTGATCAAAGGGTAAATAAAGTATAGGTAATCTGCTTTACTTGTTTTCACTAAATAAATAGTTTTGTTGTACGGTAGTTTGTTTTCAGTCAGTTAATGCGGTGCAGTCTCGATAGTAGAGATTGGTTGCAATGTTCCACCATCCTTGGTCATATAGGCCTATACATAAAATTTTACAGTTGGAATTTTTAATTTGTTAAATATTTGATTACATCTGATGTGAAGAAGTTGCAGATATAAAGAAATTAATATAAGTATCTAGTATAATATACTAGAGACAACATTGCAGGTATAAATAATTTGTTTCAGTCGAACGAAAAAAGAAGAATAAAGAAATTAATCACCTTACCAAGATGCGTTTAAGGGAATGACAAACGTCATGGAAAACAAAACAAAAAGCTGAAGTTAAAATATGTCTTTAAAAAAGATGCGGGGCGGAAAGGACAGACATGTTTTTTAGAAAGCTTGAACAAAACAAGTATATAAAAAAGCAACACCGGTGTCACCAACCACCTTGTTTTTATTTGAGAGTAATTGTGCATTTATTTTGAAGCAGCGTACCACCTTTCCCTCAACACATCCAATTTCAGCATAAAATTCTTTTAATTATCAGATTTACTTTCCGTAACTTCTGTATTGTTACATTTCTTTAATACTTGTCACATTTTCTCTCAGTTGAATAAGACATGCCAAAGCAGTCTTGTGTCAGTTGCCCACAGACTTCTTGGCATTATCCAAGAGAATTTTGTTCCTGATAGCAAGGACTATTCCATCTACACTGGATCATCAGGCTAGTCTATGCTGTCCATGCTTAAGAATGTGTCTGTAAAACATATTAATGTCTGTGAAATATATTTACTTTCTTTATTATAAATTCATGATTGTTATTAAATGTTAAGCCATCTTATGTGTGTAAATTATGATGGGGTAGGAATAACAATTAATTAATGCTTAATTTTGTAAAATAGATTGCAACGACAAATCCTTCTGCGATCATAGGAAGTAGAAAAGTAATGAAACATTGCTTTGAGATAGTGGATTACAGTTTATTGTAGGTCGAAAGGAAAAGTATTTTCATGAACATAGGAGGTGTCAAAGAAAGTCATTGATGATCCAAGTTATATTGATATAGTGTAGCCTCATTGAACCAAATATAGTGTTGAAAGAATAAGGTGGTACACAGAGGCTGTGTTCCATAATGATGGAAACATGATGAGGGTTAAAAGGTTCCTGTCCCAATAGAAAAATAGCACTAAACTGACAAGAAGAACAGTTGGTTTTCTCTAGGCAGTTGTGAAAGTTCTGTACTTCAGTAGTAGCGGTCAGGCTGTTTGCATAACGCTATAAACTTTTTATTTTCATTGCCTGCTTCATTTCGTTCATGAGTGCAGTATTTACAGAGATCCCTGGGGATCGTTTGTTGAATCTATGTTCTTTCTTTCTTTTTGTGTTGTTTTCGGCTGGTGGTTTCAGAGACTGAGCCATGTGGGATAAAACCTAGTGCAGTCAAGTTAACCCTTTCGACTTTTACCTCAAACCTTCGGGTTTGAAGATACAGTAAGATATTGGTATGGAGACTAATATTCATGATGCTGTTGCCACATACATTTCCAGCTTTAATTTATGTCACTGTAAGCATCACATCTTTCTTTTCATTATGTATAGGATTATGTATGTAGTATTTCTTTGGTTTCGTACATGGGGAAATGAATCTATTTGGTAAATTACTTGAAGAGCTACACTACAAAATGACAGTTGTATTGCTTAGATTCTATGCCTGGGGGTAAGAAACTGTTTGGATAATTACTTATAGGTGTACATACTAAAAAATAACATGTTGTTCATTTTTTTAGGACAAGCATTTCTACATCTTCACTTACATAACAAGCTTCCTGGAGTACGGGATGACAGCCATTTGAAAGTGGCTCTGTCCTGGCTGGACCCATGTTTATCCAGGCTAAAAGGTTCCCGAGTCTCCTTTCTGTGTGGAGACGCAGGTCCTCTGGCACTAGCTGCTGTCGTTTATTTCAAATTGAATGACAAAAAGCTTTGCAAGTATTACACTGAAAAGTGAGTGTGTTTAGTTGAAAGTTTATTGAATTCTTGTCTTTGAACACCAACTTATTCAAAAAAAAAGCTGGACATTTAATAGCTTTGCCTCGATTTTGACAGTGGCTTGAGCTTTGAACTGTTAACTGCTCTGAAAGCAATGGTAACTACTGAACATTTAATTGCATAGTGAAACTACAAACAGCCAAGACTGTTAAAAGCTCGTAATTATCATGTGTTTAAAAAAAAAAAAAGGATATTACTAGTTTTACATGCACGCACACACACCCACCCACACAGAAATGATAACATGGTAATGTCCCAAGGGCTATAATGTTTGGTTCTTAACTCATAACTTACAACTGTAGGAGATCTTAAACTGATATATCACACATAGTCCATAGGTACCCAGCTGTACTTTCTTGCTATGTTTTTTTTTCAAACTAACCTGGACCTCACTAAATGTTGACAGTGATTGATCACGCTCTCCAACAGAGTTGATTTTTTGTAAGGAAATGAAAGTAAAGAGTCCATTCTAGCATATGCTGCTAGACCCATATGTTAAAAACCAATCGGGACTAGATGGGTGATGTGATCAACATCATGTCTTTGAACACCAACTTATTCAAAAAAAGCTGGAAATTTAATAGCTTTGCCTTGATTTTGACAGTGGCATAAGCTTTGAACTGTTAACTGCTCTGAAAGCAATGGTAACTTGTTATGTTTTTTTTTTTTCAAACTAACCTGGACCTCACAAAATGTTGACAGTGATTGATCACGCTCCTTAACAGTGTTGATTTTTGTAAGGAAATGAAAGTAAAGAGTCCATTCTAGCATATGGTGCTAGACCCATATGTTAAAAACCAATCGGGACTAGATGGATGATGTGATCAACATCGTGAAAACTGCCTTTAATTTCCATGTACTGATTTAAGCTCAGTCAGCTTTGAGTTCTAGGTCAGTTTTAATGATTGATCCTGATGTGAATTCAAATCCAAAACACTGCTGCCAGTAGAGTTGATTGAGTTGAGTTGAGTTAAGAATTGACATCACAGCACACAGGGCATTCCCATGTGTGCTCCGTCTTCATCTTCAGCAGCCAATGCAGAGTTCCAATACTGATGGTACAGGTCACAATCTGGTTATATGTCCATCTTGCCTTTTCTCTAAGTGTAGTGAGCCGGCCAGACTCTCTGGTTACACCCAGGTGCATCTCTCTCTCCAGGCCATAATAATCTTCTTTCTACTAATTCCGTTACTTGTTCCCATAGGGCTGCGGCCAGTAGACGGCCTGCTTAACCACTCAGCTACCACAGTGCCTCGATCTCTTGTTGTCATATATAATAGAAGCATCAGACATTGGTGTGTGACTGTATTTTCTGATTAGGTTTGTTATAAGTCTAAATTATATAAAACTGTGGTAAACCCTTTAAGTTAGTTCTTACATGGATCAAAAAGGTGCCGTCTCCACGATGAAGATTGACTGCAGTGGTTCTTCAACACATTTTCTTGCCTTGTACTCTTCTAAAGAAGTCTTGGAGGAGGGCTTGCCACAAGGCTCATCATTGAGCTGTACACTATTCCTAATCTTTATCAATGACCTGCCAGAACAAATCAAGGCCGAAAAAGCCTTGTACGCTGATGACCTAGCAATATGGCAGAGTCATGAAAATGTGGAAAGTGGAGCCCAAAGACTGAATGGAGACCTTAGAAGACTGCATGATTACTGCCAAAGATGGAAACTCAAGATTAACTGTGCAAAGACGGTCTACACAATCTTTACCAAAAGCCACCAAGTAGCAAGGAAGAATATTAACCTGAGGTTAGACAAACACCAAGTGATGAAAGACGAGCATCCCACATACCTTGGAGTCACACTTGACCCGCAGCTCAGCCTCAAGAACCATATTGAAAACATCAGGAATAAGGCATTGAGGCGGTTACAGTTATTAAAGAGACTTGCAGGTACATCATGGGGATCAGACAAGGAAACTCTGAGGGGCTTATACCTAGGATATGTTCGCTGTGTTATAGAGTACAACAACTCACTGCTTACAACTTGTTCCAAAACTAACCTAGAGACTCTTGACAGAGTACAAAATAATGCCCAGAAAACTGGAAAGATCCAAACAAAGAATAAAGCACAAATCGGTTTTACACTGTGTAAATGAAATTCAGGACAGATACCACCTCCCAGAAAGACGTCAAGGAATTCAGAATGTTGCAAAAAACCTACCACCACATGCTCGCTTTAAAGCTCCAGAAGTCCAAACTAAATTGGTAGGCGAGGAAACCAAACAGTCCTACCCAATCGCTCTTATGAACTCATCACTAAAGACCGTTGATTCTTACCCCCAAGAATGGATACATGTCTATACTGATGGATCAGCATTTAAAGCTACCATTAAAGCAGGTTACGGAATCTACATAGGTTATCCCGATGGATCTGTTGAAGAGATTTTTGATGCATGCGGGGAATTCTGTTCAAACTATGAAGCTGAAATAATTGCACTGGAAACAGCAGTATACCACCTAAAGACTGTAATGGATGTTTACCCCTCAAAGGTCCAAAATATTGTCATCTTCACAGATTCAATGTCTGCCCTTCAAGCTCTGGAGGGCAATGAACGCTGCAGAACTGACATAGCCAAGGTAATCCTGGATGCCGATCATCTTATTACCTCATACAACATCAGAATAGTGATGCAGTGGATTTCAGGTCACTCCGGCACACCAGGTAATGACAGAGCTGACAGATTGGCAAAGAAAGGAGCAACACAAGAACAACCACCTACAGCGACAACCCTCCAGACAGCAAAAACACTGATAAGAGCTATAAACAAAGAGACTTGGTTGAACAGATGGGCCATGGGAGACACTGGAAGAGAGGTTTATAGACATATGTCTGGCCCTGATCCTAATGACAGCATTAACCATCTAACAAGAAGGGACCAGGCCACCATCTTCAGACTTAGAACGCAACATACTCCACTCAATGGACACCTAAACAGAATACAGCCACAACACTCCCCAGAGTGCCAGCTATGTAACTACCCCTACGAAACTGTTGAACACCATCTCTTTGAGTGCCCAAAACTCAGTGAGACAAGAAGAACGCTACTCCCTCCGAGACCAGACAAGTGGAACACCTTGTACGGAGGAAAAGAACAGCTTGTGAAAACATGCAAATTCCACTACATGGCATTGGGCCAAAGGGCGAAAGCTCATGCGCCGCTGGATCGATAACAACAACAACAACTTGCCTTGTACTCTCTCAGAGTGCTGCTCATCCATATCTTGATATTGTCCTCCTGCTTGAATCATTGTCTACCTTTTGATCTCTTGTCCTCAGTCTTTCCTTCTAGTCTGGTTTTTAAATGAGTATTATGTCTTATAATGTGGCCAAAATATTTCAGTTGTCTTTTTTATTTTATTTCAGTAACTGTTTTCATTCACAGTCTGTACAGGACCTCTGTGTTAGTTTTTATTTCTATGAAATACAAACTCTTGCTGTGTATATCCGCATTTCTAGAGACTCAATTCGATTTTCTAGTTGCCTGTTCATTGTCCAGGTTTCTGCACCATACAACAGGTTTGAGTGTACATAACATTTCAGACTGTTTATTTAAAAAAAAAACTTTTACCTTAATGAACTTGGACAGTGATTGGTTACTCTCTCTTTTAGGGTTGAATCCTTATGGGAAGCAGCACGCCATGACAGGGAGATACCAGATGAAATTTTGTTTGGTCGATGTGGCTACCTGTCTGCACTTTTATTTCTCAAACACAATATTAGCCAGGATTGTGTGCGTTCTGAAATTATACAAGAGGTGATATAAAAGTTGTGAGTCATTTTATAATGTATAATGAATATGTATGTGCTGTAAAAATACCAAAAAACCGATTTTTGCTGGTATGAATATCTTTTCTTCTTTGTTTATCCAGTTATGTAAGTGGGTTGTGCCCATTAACATCATGGCTGCAAGATTTGCACTTTTCTGCCTACACATCCTATTTCCGCGTGCATTTATTGCTTGGGTAAGCCTCCCTGGGTAGTCAAGTTAATTCGGTTGTTTGTTATCTTATTAAATCTATTGATTTCAGTTTTTCTCCTGTTGGGACATATTCTTGGGATTGCCGTAAACTAAATTTCTGCATTCTTTCATTTATGGCCAATAGTGGTAAGGAATTTTTACATTTCTCATATTTGTTAAATATCACTTCTGTTTTATTGTGACAGAATTTCTTCCAATTTTTAGGCATTTGTGGTGTCATAAACTAATTTCTGGTCTCTTAGACCTACCTAGAGATTTTTCTTAAATTGTAGATTTTCTGAAAAAAACCTGTTTTGCCATACACCCCCCCCCCCCCCCCCCCCCCCCCCCCGCTTTTTTTTTAAACACACACACACACACACACGCATTTTTTCTTTTTCTTTTAATAAGGAGCTTTCTTTCTCATATACCCAGAGTACATTAATTGTGTAACCTTTTGTCTCTTTCAATAACATCAACTTTAGATCCAATTGTTGTAGGGCGGTTTTCTTCTCTTTATTTTGGTGTTTACATCCAAGTGCCTGCTTTTAAATACCTGCCTTTGTATACCTGTCCATAATTTCAGCCTTCAAATCCAAGTTGCATATGTCTCTCTCAAATTCCAGCCTTCGTATTTCAACTTTTGAATGTCTATTTCAAATCTAACCATTAAATATCAATTTGCACATGTATCATCTCAAATTCTGAGCTACAAATACCAACTGCTTTTCATATGCCTGTTTCAGATACTAGCCTCTAAATTCTTATTTTCAAATGTCATCAAAAAAATAAAGCAATCTCAACCATTAATTCATTTGAAATTACAGGTTGTAGAGGCAGTTCTGAAATCTGGGGAGAACTTGGCAAGAAAAACAAAGAGCTCCATCCCTCTCATGTATCAGTGGCATGACAAGACATATCTAGGAGCAGCTCATGGACTGGCAGGAATTTTCTATATGCTTCTTCAGGTATAATCCCTTCTTCATTTTCGCACATTGTTGTCACTAATCATAGGTGTCGAAACCTAATGGCTGAGACTCCTTGAGCCCCACTAATCTAATAAATTTAAGGGACTGACTGAGCTCCCCCCCCCCCCCCCCCCTCCCCCCCCCCCCCCCCCCCCCCCCTCCCCCCCCACCCCCCCCCCCACGCCCCCCCCCCGCCCCTTTTCCCCATAAAAAAATATGCAAAGGCTAGGTCTAATATATTAAAGGGACTGAAACCCCTGCCCCCCCCCCCCCATCTCCCCCCAAACCATAACTGGATACAGTTATTAGGAAAAGACAATTATGGAGCAGCACATTTAGCAAACAAGAAAAAAAAAGGGGGGTGGGGGGGTGGACAGGACAGCAGAGAGTAAAAGGAAAGATAGAGAGAAAGAGAAGAAGATGAAGATCAGAGGAGAGGGAGAGGAGAGGCCAAGTAGGAGACGGGAAGGAGAGGGCAAGAGGGAAGGAGAGAGAGAGAGAAGGGGGAGGGGTGAGAGAAAAAAAAAAGTTATGGGGGAAGACCTTGTTGATCGCCAAACACACTGAAAAGATAAACCGGGCTAAAAATTGAAATGTGAAATCCAGTTGACTTCACTTTGCTTAGCACCGCCATTTCCCAATGTAATCCCTGTTTCTAGAAACAAACACCCACACAGCACACAAGGCCAGCGACTGCTCCCTTCCCCCTCCAAAACCATGCGCTGCTACCTGCGTGTATCCATGGGCTGCAACATAACCTGTCCTTCCCTAGCCCTTAAGCCATTTCAGCTGAAAATGGCCGATAATCAACTGACTCTCATACCGGAAATGATGGTAAACATTTAAAACGAAGGTAGCCTAAAAATAGTCAAATGGCCGAAGATCATCGGTCTTTTCATGATAGTTTGTTTTACTTCAATTCTACCATTGCCACAGCCAGGGGCTGTTAAGGTTGGTTCTGCAACGTCCTGTAAAGGATACGCAACTAACTAACTACCATTGCCATGGTCAAAATTCCAGGTTTATCAAGGTTAGTATGTCTTTTCCAAGGTCAAATTCCAGGTTCCATGTTAAGGCTGCAATTTCCAGGTTAAATTCAAGTTTCCAGGTCCCCTACGAAATGGGTGCAGTTTTCATGGAACGAACAATGAGGAGGAAGGGACTTTACTATCCTACCTTACTATGGGACAGAATATGTGAAGACCTAACCCTTTACACCCCAGTGGCAGAATCTACCATTGGGCCAACTTTTTTATACTGTTAAAAAAACACATAGTTATCCAATGGCAGGTTTTATTATTTGACAGGAAATCCCGAATGCCTAAAAACTGTTGACGACAAGATGCGGAAGAACTATTGTTTGACCCCTAAGGTGTTCTTATATACAATGTGAGCACTTTCACTCATTAAATTACAAAGACTTTGAATGTTAGAATTATGACAAAATTATGTTCCTTCCTTTATTTTGTTTTGAGCAGTATAATATTCAGATTAGTCACAGCAGTAAAATACTGTGTGCATTAATAAAAGCATATCTTACAGATTAAGGAGCCAGCTTTACAGGCAAGAATTCACCATTTGGTTCGACCATGCATTGATTACATGCTGACTTTAAGATTTGCATCAGGAAACTGCCCATCATCACTAGGTAGTGAAAGTGGTGATAAGCTGGTTCACTGGTGCCATGGAGCTCCTGGTTGGGTTCATATGTTTGCTCTTGCTTACAAGGTATTTGATAGATTAGTTACACATTTATAATGTGTTGGTCTTCATATTCATTATCATCGTTCCCTATATGGGTTCTTCGGCCACTTTGTGGGGGGGGGGGGGGGGGAATAGACCCACTGCCTCCCTAACAAGCATATCGTAAGAGTCGACTACTTAGGGGTTTCCTTCAAAGTCGGAGTGCATCTGCCTGAGAGGCAAAGAACCACCAGTATGAATACAAATAAGCCATCTGTAAAACGGATGTGCACACAAAACTCAGGTTCTGGAACAAGACTTGAGTCCAGATGGAGACGAACAACCAGAACTTTTGGCTGGAGTGTAAAAACAGTGGATGCGAACAAGATCCTTTTGAGGACATCACAGTCATCATGGCCTCACCATAAAACTCTTGGTGCCTTCTCTGTGTCTCATGATTCACTGTGTTCCACTATAAGAAACAATAAAAAGTTCAGTGGTGAAACTAGAGATACTAACACCTCACTGGAGAGACTACTGCAGCTGTGCACCAACAACATTACATTTAACTATCTCAGAAAACCTTACCCTTAGACTGATGGGGAGTCCCTTAAGCCTCATTCTAGCAAATATCTTTATACCACACATAGATAAAAATATATCCACAGATATCAAACACTTGACTTCTTCTGACCGTACTTAGATGGTTTACTAATGATCATCTCTGGGAAACAGCAAGCAACATCATTCCTTACCACTATGAATCATCTCCATGTTCATACCATACTAACAAAATGATGTTAGAAATATTACTGTATTAATCACACAAAGAAAGGTTGACACAATTCTAAATCAGTGTACAGAAAAGAAATATGTCATGATCCTTATTGTAATCTAGCTGACCTAGAGCTGACAAATGTATATACAGACTCTTCTTCCTATTCTTTCTTCATGTTCACAAGATATAAACTGTGATAGAAAGTTATCGTTGTTCGTCCACTTCTGGACTTTAGTCCTATTTCAGAACCAGAGTGTTGCGTGCACATCTATTTCACAGTTCAGACTCATTGGTGTTTTCACTGTTGGTTCCTTCGAAGGAAGCTCCTAATTAGTCGACTCTTGCGACATGCTTTTGGGTAAGCAGTGGGTTTATTCTTGTTTTCCCCTCCATGGGACCCCAGAACCCACACGGCGAATATACAGATTGACATGCACAATGAACCTCTCCTTCGATTCCTTCGATGCTGGATCTGAACAAATGGCTGGTGTTTCAACAACTGGTACTTTCAAGCACATGTATGTGGATCAAATAGTCATCACCCAGTTGGGTCTTAAGGCATCAAGACACCAGCTCTGTGTTGAAACTGTTATGTCTGGCGCATATACACAACCACTGGTTCCTTAAGTCTCTCTGTCCTTTTCCCTTCTGGGTTCTGAATCTTGATTGGTCAGCTGTTTTATTTATTCTGCTCTCATGGCTGTCTATGGGGCAGTGACTCTTTCAGCCAAAGTCAGTAGCATTTGATGACTGTCTACAATATTTCACGCAAGCACTAGGCTGTCAGCCGTCAGGTGAAAGAATTGCTAGCAAGTCTGTTACAGTAAATGATAAAGAACATGGAGCTCAGAAAATTACAGAATGAATTACTAGTCATTAATCTGGTCACTTTTCAGCTGAATGCTACTCTAGTTGTTTTACTTGTCATGCTTTCTTAACACTTAACTGTACACAAGTTCTTGGTCACCTCGCTTTGCTTCGGTTTGCTCAGTATCTTTATTCACATAATATGGTTAGTGTAATGACTGGGCTGGTGTTATTATTTCCTCTGTCTGTGTCTTATCCAAAATTGTTAGATGGCACCTTTCCATTTTTCCAGACGATTGTGTTATTTTATGCTGTATAGAGGCATAAGTTTCACAGTGTGTGGTGATTTTGAGTGTGACTAGCAAGACCCGCTCGCATTTAGAAAGGTCTTCCACATTTAAAGCTTTAGATTTCAGGACTATTGGTCTCATTTCACATATTTAATTTGCTTCTTCTCAAACCCTTCGTTCTGAACTTATCTGCAATAATTTCTTCTTTATCCCTTTCTGATTTTCCCTTTTGTATGCAACGTGGCCTACGGCAACCTGTTACCACAAATCCATCTCAATACCTGTATCCTTAATATACTGCTTTCACATATGTTTGTATAGGCTGACCTTAACATCTTCTACCCATCTTCACCATAGAGGATGTCCTAAGGGACTCTAGTAAGTAAGTAGGGGACCCTTTTCTACACCTTCAGTTGTAATGTGCTAGAACTATATTTTATAGACCAATTGGCACTTTGCAAGAGATGTGGTCGAAGACTGGGCATTGAGAGTGTGTAATTTTCTCTTTTGCAGGTTTTCAAGGACAAACAATATCTAGAAGCTGCAAAAGATTGTGTAGAAGTTGTGTGGAAAAGAGGTCTACTCCGCAAAGGCTATGGGATTTGTCATGGCCCTGCAGGAAATGCTTACACTTTCTTAGCTGTTTTTAAGCTGACTGGTGACCAGAAATACCTTTATTATGCATATAAAGTACGAAATGTTGCATTCGTGAATGGTTATCTTGATAATGAATTAACAGTAGCTATGCTAATTCACAATTCTACTAACGGAAATCGTAATCATTGATGTTTGACTTACAGTTAGTAACCTTAATACTCAGTTAGTACTTTTAACGCTCTCGCCCCAAGAAGGCTAAATCTAGTCACTTCCTATTGTGACACAGCCCATTTCAGCAGTGACTTGTAGTAGTTAAATACTATTGATCCTGTGTCAGCCTGCATAATGTTTAGGCATGACAATTTCCTCTAAGCAAAGAACAACAAGGTGCCATGTCAGACACAGTTGGATGTGCGTCAATTCATTTTTTTTTAAAGAAAAACCAATTGAAACTGAAAAAAGGCAGATCGTCCTGTTTTGTGTGACAAAATATAAAGGCATGTTGGCTGTTACCTGTCAGAAAAATACAACAGTATGGGGGAGGGGGGTGTTGATCACTTTGGCCAGCTGGGTGCAAACTACCCCTACCCACCTAGATCCTGTAATTGGTACCTGCCATATATTATTTTTTTATTTTTAGTTGACACTACTGTGGTCAATACCATATAAGCTACAACACTGCCAACTTTGTGCTCAAGGTCACAGCAAAGAGGTTCAGGCAGGATGTCAGTCTAGCTGTTATTAGATCTGCTGTTCTTCGACACAGATTAACACCTTCAAGACCACACGTCACAGCACAGTGGCTTAAGGAGTGCAATTTTTACTTTACATTTGAAAGCCAAGGTACAAACCAGACTGTAAAGTTTGTAAGGCTGCAGGTAAAAGAAGCTAGACTTGCATGTACTGCCCAGATTGCAATACACATTTATGCTTGATACCCTGTTCAAGCTGTACCATATGGTTGAGGATTATCAACATTCCTGATAAAGACAGAGGGCTACTGCTACAGCTTCAGCTCCAGTTAATAAAGGAAGTAGCTCAGGCTTCAGCTAGAAAACTTTGATAATCAAGCATTCACACATGCTCATTGTAACATGGCAAATCAACACAATAAATGTGGGAAAAAATTTCACTTTATTCACATTTTCATTCGCTTTTCATGTTGAAATATTTAGTCAGTCGTTAAAAATGTGCTCCTGTTTAGCTAATTTTATTCTTCATCAACCATGTCCCCAACAATTTATTGCACTGATATTGAACAAATCCACTAAGAACTGGAAAAAGATTACGGTTTTTGAACATCTCCTGAAATGTCTATAAATTGCCAAACAAATTAAAGATGGCCACCATGATCATGTGACATATTTGCATAATATTTTTTTTTTTTATGTGTAGCAACCATTCACAATGATTCTGTGAAGGTTTCAAAACCCTTAGCTCGTTTTTGAATTTTTTATGTATTTTATCAGAAAGCCAGTCATTTTGGAAAAAATATCTAAACACCCTTGGTAATGGGAGACAGTTTTGCCTCAGGTTGCTGGTCAGGAAAGTGTTAATAGACCCAAAGGCAAAAATATGAACTAAGTGCAGCATTTAGAGAAGTTTTCTTGAGACCTAAAAGACTTTTTTTTTAAAGTCAAGTTGACTTAAAACTTCCCCTTGAGCCTCAGTGATAGAGGTCATGGCATCACGACATGAGTCACATAGTTGTTTTAAATTCAGTTTAATGTTTCACTCTGTTCTTGTTTATTGATTAGTCCCTTTATATGTCTTTGTATATCTGGAAACATACATTTTAAGAATATTGATTAATCTATTTTTAAACAATTTATTAGCTACTTATGTAAAATAGTGAGAGCTCCCCCTGGGCTCAATTGACCTATTTGGTTTGTGCACCTTTACTAAATTTTAAAAAACTGACTTTGTTGCCTGTATTTACCACTTTTAGGGCTGGTTAGGACAGGGGGTTAAGGAGCCTGAGGATTTAAGGCAACATCATGGCTAGTTTAGTCACCACAAACTGTGCAGGTTAGAAATTGTATGTTTTGCCCCCAACATGAAAAAAACAAAATCTCAAAATCAGTCTGTTAGCAATGATCGGTATGGGTCTCCTGCATGATAGCCCAGCTCTGAAACCACTTGGCCAACCGCTGTTTTACAATATGTAGTGTGTCTGTATGTGTGCTTTCTTTAAATTACATCCATTCAGTTATGCTAACATTTATTTATAGTCCCCCATTTATCACTCTCTTCCCCCACCTTGGGTTACAAATTTCACACGTCTGTTAAACCTATGAGTCGGCTCTTTGGCTAAGTCGATGCCAACGCTTTGTAATGCCGGGGTGCCGGGTTCGATCACAGCTGCGGGCCATGCGCCTTGCGTTGATTTCGACAGTGGTATCAGGGGGCCAACCGTCCAGAAAGCAATGGACGTAAATTTGCCTAGAGAAACCACACAACAGCCAGGGGCTGCTGGGGTTGGTTCTGCAAAGTCTTGTAATGGATACACAACTAACCTTATTAAATCTATGTCATCCGCATATCCTCAAAATATTTATAATTTGTTCTTCAACTTCCTTTTTTTTTTTAATGTTTTTAGTATTGTCCCATTGTAAATTTTAAACAAAATAAGGGGGCAAAACACATCCTTGTGTTTGGTTTCCTGCAGTCTTGTTTTCTTATAATATGAGTTTTTGATTTCCTGTTTATGTGTTGTTTTTTGTTATTTGTCTCTTCAGTTTGCTGAATGGTGCTGTGATTATGGAAAACATGGCTGCCGGACACCAGACAGGCCATACTCGATGTTTGAAGGTAATATTTCTCATTTCCAGTTGAGAAATAATTGTGAAACCCGCTTAACTCCTAACACACAAACTTTTTTATGTATTTCCTCTGTCTACCTTCTTTACAAACCCTTGTGTATGTGTTTATTATACCTGTTTACCCGCTGAACTTAAACTCATATGTATGTCATACCTCTGTACCTTGTTAGAGACAGACCCATGAGTGTATCATACCTCTCTACCTCTATGTCATACCTCTGTACCTCATGAGACCCAGACCCATGAGTGTATCAGACCTCTCTACCTATATGTCATACCTCTGTATCTCATGAGACCTAGACCCATGAGTGTATCATACCTCTGTACCTCATGAGACCCAGACCCATGTGTGTATCATACCTCTGTACCTCATGAGACCCAGACCCATGTGTGTATCATACCTCTCTACCTCTGTACCTCATGAGACCCAGACCCATGAGTGTATCATACCTCTTTACCTCATGAGACCCAGACCCATGTGTGTATCATACCTCTCTACCTCTGTACCTTATGAGACCCAGACCCATGTGTGTATCATACCTCTCTACCTCTGTACCTCATGAGACCCAGACCCATGAGTGTATCATACCTCTTTACCTCATGAGACCCAGACCCATGTGTGTATCATACCTCTCTACCTCTGTACCTTATGAGACCCAGACCCATCAGTGTATCATACCTCTCTACCTCTGTACCTCATGAGACCCAGACTCATGAGTGTATCATACCTCTTTACCTCATGAGACCCAGACCCATGAGTGTATCATACCTCTGTACCTCATGAAACCCAGACCCATAAGTTTATCATACCTCTCTACCTCTATGTCATACCTCTGTACCTCATGAGACCCAGGCCCATGAGTGTATCATACCTCTCTACCTCTGTACCTCATGAGACCCAGACCCATGAGTTTATCATACCTCTCTACCTCTATGTCATACCTCTGTACCTCATGAGACACATGAGTGTATCATACCTCTCTACCTCTATGTCATACCTCTGTACCTCATGAGACCCAGACCCATGAGTGTATCATACCTCTCTACCTCTATGTCATACCTCTGTACCTCATGAGACCCAGACCTGTGAGTGTATCACACCTCTCTACCTCTATATCATACCTCTATACCTCATGAGACCCAGACCCATGAGTGTAACATACCTCTCTACCTCCTAAGAGACAGATCCATGTGTGTGTCTCATATCTTCTGAGACATGTTCATGTTTACATACCTATCTGTGTTCTTCCACACAAACTCACAGCCCACATCAAAATAGTGTAGATGAAACTAACATTTACATCATCATAGCTATGCATTTAATCATCCTTATTGTCATTATTTTAAAATGGCATCATGAATGCTAACACATAAACAGAAATCACTGTAAGACATATCTTTACCAGACTTTTATGAGCTAGAAATAAACCTTTAAAAAAAAATGTGTCGTAAATAATACTTGCAGAAGCACACCATTTTTAATTTTACAGTATTTGTTTCAAAACCTGTAAATACCTATTTTAACACACTATCAGATTTTTCTCATAAAAAAACCACAGAAACTTTCAAGACTAATGGGAGTAATTGTATTGGATAAATAGGTCTTCTTCTTTCAGATCTAGCACCATAATTCGCTCTGAAATGAATTTCCATATGATGAAAAACCATATGATAAAAAACCCATAGTTTTATCTATGTTACTAATTTGATTTTTGGCCACAATACAGCCAACACCCCCTTTGGCTCTCTCTGTCCTAGGGACACCACTGTAGAGCAGCATACTTCCATCGTGATCTGTGATTCCCTGCCTCTTTTTCTTGGTTTCAGTCAGAGCCAAGATTCCTAATTTTGCTTCTCTCATCTCCTCTATTCCCCTTGCGTTGGTTTCGACAGTGGTGTCAGGGGCCAGACCGTCCAGGAAGCAGTGGCAAACTACTGGACATAAATTTGCCTAGAGAAACCACACAACAGCCAGGGGCTGCTGGGGTTGGTTCTGCAACATCCTGTAAAGGATACACAACTAACCATCTCCCCTATTATCTCCTTATCCTTTCCATTAATGCTTCATATGTTCCTTGTTCTATAAATTGTAGTCCGTAAGTCATGCCAGTTTGTCGGCGTTAAGATCCGTCCAGTTTTCTCTCTGTGGTAACTTGTAATTTAAGGCAAACAGGTGATTGGCCTGTTGTGCCTTTGCATGGTGGAGGGGCTGCCCTCTTGTGTTCTCCATGCAGGCCATCTGGCTGAGTCATGGTTACCAACTTCTTCCGGAGACGCATGAAAACACTCAGGTTCAGCCAGACCAGGTTCAGCTGGGTCATTTTATGTCTAGTGAACATGCCTGGCAGGTCAAAGAAGTATCGCATGGGGTGCCTCTTGTGTACTGAGCATCAGTCTCATGGCTTCATTTTGCCCTTTCTCTAGTCTTTCCAGCTGCTGCTAATTGTGAGGAGGCCAAGCCCATAGTCAGTTAAAATTTAAGCAGCAGTAATTGTTCCATCCTCGCTGCTACCATCACCCTGAGCCAGGCCTTCATAAGCTTTTATAATAACATCATTGAAATGATATTGGAATTACAGACATCAGTCAAAATATATACCAAGATAGTTAAGGTCTGCTGACCTTTGCATATCATCTCGATACTGATAATGGGTGTGGTTATCTTGACAGCCTTGTTGTTTTGTGAGAACCATGTCAGTGTAGTCTTAGCTGGTTTACTCTAACCCTTGATTCCTCACACCTAGTCAGTCTGCAGTGCTTTAGCTGTCTCCTGTCTGTCTGTACCCTGCCTGTAGATCAGTTCATCATCAGCAAATGACAGTCCTATATTCTGGATGCACATGACCCTTGTGGTGTTCACATTAAGTAGAACAGATGACTAATGGTGACACCTGAGATAATCATGGCATGACGGTCCGCAGCTTCAGCATCCATGATAAAGCTCTGCAGCACTGCTCTTCTTTCAACAACAAAACCAGCACTAACCCAGTTAATCAGGATTGGATCAATATTCATATATCAAACAACAGTGTCTATTAGGTAGTCAAATGGAACATTGTTGTATGCATCCTCAAGATCAGTGGCTGCTACAGCTCTTTCCATGCCAGCCTGGAAGCCCTCACAGGTGTCATAAGCGAACACAGCGGCATTGGTCAAGGTGTCCTTCCCTGGCCAACAGTGCAGTGGTGCCGAGTATCCATACCTCGAGCGATGGATTCAGCAGGGAGTGAGCAGAAGATCTGGACAGTTTTCAACACACAGGGGAAAGGACACACTGCCTTTCAGACTGTTTGTGGCTGGTAACATCAGAATGGGAACTCTCTGTTACTGCTGAGGAAGGGGACAGAGCACCTGTAGAGATGCACCAGTGTCAGTTCTTGATTCATTCATTCATTCCTTTCTGATAATAAGCAGATTAACTGACATCTCTATTTTTTCTTTGACCTTTTCACTTTTGCATCGGCTCTGTTTTAATTTATATAACTAATTGTGTCTGTCTTTTTATTGTAATTGTAAATTTTGCCAATAAAATATTGTTTGTCTTCTAATTGCAGGAATGGCTGGCACAGTTTATTTTCTGGTGGACCTGTTGGATCCAAAAAACTCAGCATTTCCAGCATTTGAATTCCAGACCTGAGCCAGCAACTCCTGTTTAATGTTGAAATGTGTAACATCAGTTATTCTGCTTGTCATTAATATTGTTTGCTCTCTGCTGTTTAAAAAACAAAAATTTGCAAACAACTTTGTGTTTGAGAAGGTACTGAATTTTTTAATTTTTTTGCACAAAAACATATGTTACAATAAAGGTAATGAAGAAGTGAAATATGTGTCGAAGCATTCTACATTATCTTTGACTAATCAAATTGGCACATTACTTATCATTTACTTGTTGTAGCAGTGCATTTACTGTCTGAGATTGCTGCTACAGTGATGCATAATGACAATTTTGACCTTACTTTTGTCCAAGGTTAGGGTAGTTTCAAAATAGAGACTGCTGTAAGTTTGTGATTCTAGTAATATGTTTGATGATTTAGAGGTGGCTGAAAATGTTTCCTTGATGATAACAGTAAAGACCAGATATATAGTAGCTTTAATGTTGGCTGCAGTGACATTTGTTATTTCTGTGTTCACCTTTAAAAGGGCAGTGCATGTTGTGTTGTGTACTGCTGGGCTGCGATATCTGCACCTTTCAACCCATCACATCAAACTTCAGCAAACCCTTAATTTGTTGCTTTTGGTAACATGCTTATTAGAATGGCAGTGGGTCTGAGTTATATTTTGCTCCCCCAAAATAGGGCCCCAGAACCCACACTGTGAGTTTATAATTTGGGAGTTGATGTTGTAAAAGAGTAGTTGGCACATCATGTTTTGGTTTACAGCTACGCCACAATATCCCTGCCTTTTGGCCCAACACATCGGATTTTCCCTGAATCCTTAATTAGCTGCTTTTCACAACAAGCTCGTCAAGGGGCAGTGAGTCTATTGATCTTGTCCTCCAAAAATAAGGCTCCATAACCCACACAGAGATTGTAAATATTGTCTGATGTGATAGTGGTGACATTGCTGGTCACTCCATTGATTGTAATGTAGTGAAGATGGTTGTGTGGTGTGATGATTGAAAGAATCTTAATTGGTTTTTACGACTGTTGTGGCTTTCAACTGCATAAATGCATGTGTTTGTTGTATATAATTATTATTTTCACACCTCTGATATATCTCTTCATTTGCTTCATTAAACTTTCATTTTTAAAATATTTTAGTTTAACCCTTTGGAGACATCGGGAGTTGCGGCGCTGTAGAGGCTAGACACACACCTGCGGATCGGAAGGTCATGGGTTTGGGTCCTGACGGGAGCCAGTTTTTTTTTTTTTAGACTCCTATTTTGACCCAACCGTGAATGGGTACCAGGTGACATCCTGGGAAGTAAAAAGGTTGCCGTAATGTTAACCACATCACCCACAAAGTGCCGATTGGTCTATAAAATATGGGTCTAGCCCAAATGCCCAATAGGCCTAAAGGCATGGAAAAGGGGTCCTTTAAAGACAGAGCCTTATTTGGATTTTCTTCTTTTTCTTCTTCTTCTTTGTGTTCGGTTTCGTATGCTCACATCAGACCATCAGGTGGGTTGCCTCTATAAACTCACATGTCAGTTGCAGGTCCTGCAAGGTCCCCCATAGCTTGCTCTGCGCACTTTGCTCTTGAGGCCAGGTGTCTTTTCGAAGTTGCAGGTAGAGTGGGCAGGTCTGTAGAATGTGCTGAGGTGTTTGTGGTCCTGTCTGACAGGCACACTGTGGGGATTGCACAATCTTTATTTTATACACTTGGTAGTTGAGCCTGCAGTGTCCTGTTGCTTTCTGTTGAGGCTGCTGATGGGGTCTTGTGGATGTTTACTGTTAGTTTGTTCTCTCCACAATCCTTGGTATTTTCCTTTGATAAGTGTTTTGATTTCTGGTAATGACAATGAATGGGCGTATTGTTTCTTCTTTGTTCCATTTTTTGCAAGTTTGTCTGCTAGCTCATTTTCTGGTATGCCGCAGTGAGCCGGGATCCACTGGAGAACGATTTGATTGTTTTCTGTGAGCCTGTTTAGCTGACGGGTCAGTTCTCTTTCTATGTTGTCTCGTGGATCCCTATGAGTCGTCTGGAGGACTGACATGCAGTCACAAAGGAAAACAATTTTGCTGTTTTTAATTTTTCTTTCCTTGAGCACTTTGGCTGAATCAATAATTGCTTGCTGCTCTGCTCTGAAGTTTGTTGAGAGTCTTCCGGAGGCGCATGACGTTTCTACTGTGGTCCCATCTTGCAGCATGATGACCGATCCAGATCCTCCATTTTTGTCTGCTCCCTCCAATGATCCATCGGTGTATACGTGTGTCCATTCGGGTTTTGGGTAACTGTTGCAGACATGTTCAAGGGTCTTTGCACGCAGTACTAGGTCACATTCTTCAGCCTTTCTGTCTATGCCTGGAATTGTTGTTGTGACTGTATATTTAGGCTGTAGGTCTATGTTGTATGCCTGGATCATTTCCCATGTTGAAGGATCTTTAGAAAGAATGTCACTGTTTTTTTTTTGTAGTACAGTTTTGATAAATGGTGAAAGCTTTGTCTTTTGAGTTGGTTTTTTGTTAATTGCTATTCTATGCATGTGGTGGTTGTTCATGCGTTTAAACTTTTCTTTTAGGGTAAGCACCTTTTCTTCCCTTCGAAGGCTCATGCTCTGGAGGCCACAGGTTGCCTCCAGCTCATTAATTGGTGTGCTTCTCATGCCTCCAGTGATGATTCTGAGACCAGTGTTCTGTATTTTATCCAGTTTGTGTAGGTTTGTTTTGGCTGCAGTGGAGTATGCTCCCATGCCATACTCCAGTTTTGGTTGTACGTATCCAGTGTATACTTGTCGTACAGTGTTGGCATCTGCACCCCAGCTTGTTCCAGTAGGTTTCTACATAAGTCTAAGCCTCAGGGTAGCTTTCCTTTGGGTGTCTTCAATGTGGGGGCCCCATGTTAGCCTTTTGTCAAATTTTACTCCCAAATATGTGGGGTTATCCTCTTTTGGAAGGATGTTGCCGTCTAGGTACAGATCAACCTGTTCTGGCTTTGTGGAAAGAGAGAACAAAGTTGAGACGGTTTTGGTCTGATTTATTGTGACTCCCCAAGAGTCTGTCCATTTCTTAACTGTATTTATAGCTTCCTGCATTCTTGTTTTAGTTGTTCCTATATGTTCAGCTTGAGTCCATATAGCCAGGTCATCTGCATGTAGTGCCTTGTGAATGTGAGTCGTGAACTGTTTTGGGAGGTCATTGATGAAAAGAATAAACAGGGTAGGAGATATAACATCTCCCTGGAGGACACCTTCTTGTAACCTGACCAGCTTGCTTTTGTGATCTTCCAGTCTGACTCTTGCACAGCGTCTGTAAAGGAAGTCTCTAATCCAGGCAAACATATGCCCTTTTATCCCACAGTGTGCTAGTTTTAGCAAGAGTCCTTTCTTCCAGACCTTATCGAAGGCTTTGGTCAGGTCAAAGAAAGTAGCTAGCAGTTTTTATTTTTTCTGGAAAGCATCTTCAATTTCCTGTGTGAGATAAGAGGTTTGGACATCAGCGCTTCTGTATCTCCTGAAGCCTGATTGGCTGTCATCTAATATTTTGTTTTCTTCTTGAAAATTAAGTAACCTGTTGTTTACTAATCTTTCCATGGTCTTTTCAAGGCAGCTTAGGAGGCTTATGGGGCGGTAACTGAATTTGTTTTCCTTGGGCTTTCCTTTCTTGGCTTTGGAAACTATTTCTGCCTCCTTCCATTCCTTAGGAAGTAGTCCCTAGGCCCAGGATTGATTTATTAGGTCTAAGAGTCGTTGCCTACCAGCTGGTCCTAAGTGTACTATCATTTCATTTGTTATTCGATCAGGTCTAGGTGCCTTCCTTTTCTTAAAGTTTCTTAATGCGCATTCAAGTTCTTGGGGACTGAAAAGTTTATTCATTATGTCTGGGTTATCTTCTTGCTTTTTATTTATTCTCCTCAGTTCTCTCGTCACTTCTTCTTCTCTCTCTCTAGACATCAAGATTTTGCTTTCCTCTGCAAAACTATCAGCCAGCAGGTTTGCTGCTTGTTTACCAATGAACGTTTTCCCACCATCTTCAATGACAGTGTGGGCATGGCTGGTATTATTCTCCTCATTGAGACTCTTTACTAGATGCCATAGCTTTTTTCCACCTTTCTCCATGTTGAGAGCTGCAGTCTTTTCCTGCCAACTTGTCCGGATGCATGTGAGTTTTTCTCTTTTATAAATAGCCTGATGTTTATTGTGTTCTGTTACGTTGAGGTCAGAGGGATCTTGTTCCATTTTTTCTCTTGCTTCAGTGCTTCTTTGGTGCAGTTGTTGCAGTTCTTGGGTCCAGAAGGGTTCATAGTTTTGCCTTCGACCTTGGGGGATTGATTTTTGTGCTGCTTCAAGTATGCTATTAGTAAGAGTTGTGGTGTTTTTCCTAACCTCATTTGTGGGAAAGGGCTCCGATAGTTTCTTTTCAGTTAAGTTTTTGTAGAGATCTGCTTTCTTGTAGTTCCAGCTGGCTATCTTCTTCTTATTTTCTGGAGTCTTGACATCTCCTATCATGACAATGACTGGTTTGTGATCACTTCCTCCCAGCTGTTTCATCACTTCTCTGTCTGCCCTATGTTCGATGTTTTCTGTAGCTATAGCTAGGTCCGGTGTACTTTTTGTTCGCCATCGTCTAGAGTAGAATGTTGGTTCAGAGTCAGGTTCATTTATTAGTATTAGCAGGTTTTCTACCATCCATTTCTCTACCTCTTCTCCTCTTGTGTCCATAGAAGCATATCCCCAACTAGGGAAATGACTGTTGAAGTCACCAAGAATTATGTGGCTCTTATCGGCTACTTGGATGTAATCTAGTTCTAATTTCTTGTTGTTGGGTCAGTAAAAGTTAGTAACATGTAGCGGCTCAGGAAGGATATGCAGTTTTATAGTCAGATGTTCAGACTCACTGCTGCTTCTTGAAGTTTCTGTGGCTGCAACAGTATTTTTTAACTAATGAAATGATGCCTCCTTTGTGGCCATCTCTGTCTAGCCTGTATGTTTCATAGCCTCTGACAGAAAAGCGAGAGCCTATGTTTAAATGGGTTTCC